TAATTATACCTATTACAACCACTAGTTGTAACTAGCGAAATAATTATTAAACATAAAAACCATTAATTACTATTTAACTGGGAATAAACCACAATTAAAGATAAAAATACGTTTATTGACGTTTCAATTTCCACTTCGGAAATCGTTCTCAAAATACAAACAGTAAATTAAACAAATTTTGTTTTTTGTTACATAGTGAAAAATTCTTCTATTTTTTTTTTATTTTAGTTTGATGGCCTTGGCCCAGCCAATTAGCCAGACAAATTTAAAGATAAACAATTTTAACAATCAGAGGAATTTTTACAATTAGAGGAATAAACATACAATCATCCGTACAATCGTACGTGTAATTGTTAATAAATTACAACTTATTTTTTTAATTCCTTTTTTTTACTGCGCTAAGACATAACCCGATTCAACATCTCGGAGGTTTACATCTTCCTTTTTATTTTTTAATTCTTTATATATATATATATATATATATATATATATATATATATATATATATATATTTTAATTTTTTTTTTAATTTTATATATATATATATATATATATATATATTTAAATAAATATTATTTTTTTCCATATTTTTTTCTGCTATAATACAATATTTACTTAAATATAAGGGTTAGTTTTAAGCTACAATTTATATTTACAGTTTTTGATATGTTCGTAAATCGATTTTAATATTATATTGATATCTCTAGAGAAAATCAAATTGTTCAGGTAGACGGGAAGTGAAATTTTTAATATAATAAGATTATCAGTAAATTTGTTTATGTTTACTGATTCGTGGGAACATTCAAGAAAAATATATAATAGGTTACCTTCTTTTCCGCACTTGCAATTAGGTGACTCCGCGAGACCCAACTTGTACATATGAAGGGGGGAAGAGCATGAAGGGGGGTAAGAGCATAATTTCTAGTTCTATATGATTTAGTTGTTTGGACCTATGTACGTTTGTTAGTCTGTCGACGACACTCTTACTGTCTGTAAATATTATGCAGCTGTCGGGTTCGTTACTATGTATATGCCTTAATGCAAGAAGAATAGCTGTCATTTCAGCAGTGTATATCGATGATTCAGCTGGCAATTTCAATAATTTTTTTAAATCCACTTTGAATAATAATTAATGCACATCCTATTTGTTTTGTACTTTATATCCGTGTGTAAAGTAAAACTGATAATTTGGCCATTTATGCCGTGTAAATGATTGAAAAGCGACTGGATCTACATTACTCTACATAAAAAAGGTATTAATATGTTTTGAGAAAAGCTCTTCTAATATATGGGGATACATACGTGAAACTTGATTTTCATACGAATAGAAGGTATGTCGGTATTGAGATATCCTCAAGTAACTATTTACCAGAAGAGAATATTTTTTCTTTGTCCAATATTTATGAGTTAGATCTAAAATTGATAAAATATGAATATCCTGTAGATAGTTAGTATTTTTCCCTATGGGTGTAGTAATGAATTTATCACTTAAAAACACCCGTCGAAATTTCAGAGGTGATTCTATCGCCTCAACTTCCATTATATTAGCAGGTGTAGAATTCAAATATCCAGGACAAAGCCGAAGGCATTCATTTTTTTTTGTATTTCTAATTTATTTAAATGTGTGTTTGCAGCAATTCCATACAAATGACAACTGTAATTGAAAATGGGACGAATCATAGTACAATAAAATAAAAGTGCTACATTTGGATCAGCGCCCCAGTCAGTTCTACAAAAGGCTCTTAGAATGTTCATTGCATTTTCAGATTTTTTTATGACTTGATGAATTTGATCCTTCCGTAGAAGTTTTCTGTCTAAATAAGTACCGACATATTTTATACAATTTTTAATAGGGAATTGAATTTGACCTACTTCCAGATGACCTTGTGGAATTTGATGTTTTCTACAGAAAATACAAATTTCTGTTTTAGATTCTGATATTTCTACACCAATATTTTCATAATGATTAAGAACAGCTTTAATTGAGAGATCAAAATTATTTTTACATATATCCAATGATTTGTGGGCTGTGTAAACTACTACATCATCAGCATATTAAATAATTTTTGTTGGGCCATTAATACAATTTTCTATATCCATATTATATAAAATAAATAGTATTGGACTTAATATGCTACTCTGTGGAAGTCCTATATTTGTAAAACGTGGTGGAGAGATGGAATGGTTGATTTTAAAAAAAATTGATCTATTAGTGTATAATGTCCTCAGAAAGCTAGCTATGGTGATGGGGAAGCCGATGTCTAATAGCTTTTTATGCATAATGTCCAACTTAATGCAGAGGAGACATAAAAAAAAGCAGCCATAGTATATATATTATCAGTAAAGTTTATTAGTATGGATGAGACTAAGGCAGTTATGGCATCTTGGGTTGATTTTGATTTTCGAAATCCATACTAAGATTTTGGGAGGATATGTTCTTGCTCTAACCAATGTTCAATTCTATTTTTTATTAATATTTTTAACGTCTTTAGGAAGCAAGAGGCTAAGGATATTGGTCTATATGATCTACTACAATTTTCTGGTTTCCCAGGTTTTTTAATAGGTATTAGAATATATTCCTTCCAGCTGTCTGGAATTTGTGACGTATCATTCCAAATGTCATTAAAAATATTTAAAATGATATTTTATAGTGGTGAGGAATATAGTATCTCATGGAGTATGAAATATTGTCTTTACCTGGAGCACTGATATTTTGTTGACTAAGTGCTCGCTCTAACTCCCACATTTTAAATGGTTCTTCTAAGCCAAACCTATCTCTTGACACTGTTTCGCTGTATTCTGGAAAATGTTGTAAAGGTACCCACTGAGGAGATATTTTCTTATGAAATTCATCTAGCTAGCTGGATTCTGGATCTATTGGAATTTTGTTGGACTGTTTGCGGTTTTTAAAAGCGTTTACTTGCTTCCAGACTTCACTGATTTGTGTTTCTGAATTTAGTCCTTCGCAGTATTCTACCCAATTCTGTTTTTTCTTTTGTTTGAAGAGTTTTTTTGCGATAGCGTCAAGTCTCTTAAATTCAACTAAATTATTTCTTGTAGGGACAAATCACCAAAAGGTAGAAGAAGTATCGGGCGACCACGCAAGAGATGGAGCGATAACCTCCAATAGAGGCACTAATCGACATTGAACAAGCATTTTGCTTATAAAAAAGAAGAAGAAGAAGAAGAAGGATCTTGTTTATATTTTCCATATGCAATTTTTCGGTTGTCAGCGGCGGTTTTGCAACTTTCACACCACCATTGGTTCGAAATTCGTCTCTTATGTATTCCATTAGATGAAAACTTTGGTATCGCTAAATTGGCTGCTTTATTAATGTTTGCTATTAGAGTTTGATAGTTTCCAGGAGAATTTTCAGCTTCTAGTACAGATGTGTATAATTTTCAATCGGACTTGTTAAGATTCCAGATCTTGTGACAGTTTTGAGCTCGAAATGAAGTTATATGATATGTTTCCATGTTAGTGATAATTCTAAGATGATTGGATCCATGAGGGTCCTGTAGGACTCCCCAAGTAAAAAAATTTGAAATATCTTGTGTACAAAAGGTTAAGTCAATATCGGATGGACTCTTACTAGTTGCTGATGTGGGCGATCCATCCTTCAGACATATCAAATTACAATGATCAATACATTCTAAAAGTTTTTTACCATAGCTGTCTTCAATTTCACAGCCCCATGCGATACTGTGGGAATTAAAATCCCCACCAATAATAAACGGTTTAGGTATGTCTTTAAAGAATTCCAACCATTGACTTTCAGATATCTTAGTCTTTGGTTCAATGTAAACTGACACAATATTGATGGGATTTTTACCTCGGAAAATTTTAACTGAAATACATTTATGAGTAAAAGAATATCTATTTTTAAGATTTATTTCTTCGCATCTTAAGTTTGATTTTAATAAAATGGCAGTTCCACCATATCCGTCTGCCCGATCTGATCTAAAGCAATTGTAACCTTTAAAATTATAATAGTATTTTGATTTAAACCACGTTTCTAAAAGCAATGATATGGAAATATTATTTTGATGTAGCAGATATTCTAGATTTACTTTATTAGCTACTGCTAAACGACAGTTCCATTGCAGTAAATTTATGTTTGCCTTTGTGTCTGCGAATTTGAAGACAAGGTATGGTTTACATGTTTACTAATTAATTCCACTATTTCAGATTTTGATACATCGAAATTGTTTGTTTGTTTCAGATTACTTATAATCTTGAGAACTACTTCTAAGACTAAACTTATTAATGCATTTAATTCCTCTGATTGTAATTTTACTCCGACTGAGTTTTTTAAATAATGTTGACTATTATAAATTACCCCTGAGACAAAAGAGGTGTTTGGTTGTGTAAGTATTTCTTTTCTTGAAATTTCAATGGGATCAGGGCTGGTTGGCCTGTGCCTTTTGTTTGGGTTTGAAGTTGTAGGGGAAGAAAACATATATTTAGTAAAATTGTTATTATAGGATTTGTGTTGTAAATTGTGGGACTGTGAGTACTGAAGTTGAGAGGAATGATACTGTTTGTACTAGAAGGGGTAGGTCCAGATTGAGACCGTTGGGAATAATTTGTCGAGGTTATTTGACCACTTTCCATGGCAGAGGTATTATGAGCGACTATGTTTGCGTACGTATTTCTTGGGACCTGTTTATTTGCATCAAAGAAATTAATATTGCAAGAGCTCATGGTTTCCTTTACCATTTTTTGTCTTTTAAATTCTGGACAAGCAGACAAATTAGTAGTAAGATGATTTCCTTGATAGTTAAAGCAGCGTGGTATGTAATCTGAATTATTACAATCTTGTGTGGTATAGGACTCCTGACATTTACTGCATCTTGGTTTACTTTTACACTGACCTCCTAGGTGACCAAATCGGAGGCAGTTATAACATAATAATACTTTCTGGTTATACGGCTCTACTTTCTTGATAACTTTATTAATAGAAATATATTTTGGTAAGATTTGTGATTTGAAAATAACAATGCACGACTTTGTGGGTAAGTATTCTACTATTTTAGCTTCATCCGTAATTTTGTCTACTTTATGTTTTATTCTTTTGACATTAGATACTTCAAAAGTGCAATGTTGATCAAATTGTCTTATTTTATCTTTTATGTACGCCTCTGACAAATCTTTTTCTATATCTCTAATAACACCTTGTCTATGAAAAATGAATTTTGGGATATACAATACAAAGTTATTTTTAACAAAAATATTTACAAACGAAAATTATGTATTAGAAAATTTGCTGATTTATAATCCTTTAACTTGATCCTAACCCTATTCAGACCTATAGAATCAATACTAATAATTTTATTGTCTATCTCCGGAAAGTTAGAAAGAATTATATCTCCGATTTTAAGTGCATTTAATTTACCTTTATATTTGACAGAATTATTCTCAACATAAATATGATACGGGCCTAAATTAGTACTTACATACAAAAACTCCTCTCTTTCTTTCGGTGTGATATCAATGTTCATTGTTGTTGTTTGTATATCGTTTTTTGATGAGGTTGGATTTATTAATAAATCATATTCACCAAAAACTATATTTTTTTGATGTACTAACTGATCCATTTAATTGTTCTTAACTCACAATCTAATTTTATTTTTACACCAAATTTGAAGATTTATAAAACACAATTTTTAAACGAATACAGTTTAATTTCGTTGGGCTTTGTCGATAGGCACGTCCGATTCGTAGGTGAACTAGGACATGACTGAAAATTCTTCTAATAATTTAATTTTATCTGACTCATTTATATTGACAATTCAGACATACATTATGCATTTTAAAGTAGACGACTTTAAAATGATATTGTCAATATTGTTGAGTTGCGCTCCTGGGACGACTTAACTTATAAGATAGTTCATTCGATTATATGAAATCAACTTTAACTTGAGAATATCCGTCAGAAAATAATCATAGCATGTAATTCCTCTTTAAAAAGACAAACACATGACATGATGACAGTAAAATTCTCCTGTTAGTGATTTCATAGTAAATTATGAGGGAAAACCATGAAAAAACCTCATAATACTATTAGCTGTCATATGTAAAATTAAATTTTAAAAACTGAAAATAAATAAAATAACAGCTAAAGTCAAAACTCAAAATTTACAATATTAAATATTACTATATTTAAATTTGAACGAAAGCAATTATTTATTTAAAAAAATTGTCTGTCTTTACTTTAAAATTTGATCAAAAAGTTACCTGGATTTTTCACTAACAAACTGCACTAAAATTTGTGAAACGAGACGCCACTGGAACCTCCGAAACCAGAACTGGAACTGGGGGCTTCACTCTCTCTGCGTAACGAACAACTCCATCTCCAAACTGCCAAAAAGCCTTGGATGACAAACAGAGAGAAACAAAACGAGGATGGAAACGACGATTCTTCCAATCCTCACTCAAAACATTACCTGATTAATTAAAGCATTAACTGCCACAAAACTACTTTCCACTGCTACATATTTACATAAAGAGAAAACAGAAAACCACAAATTCGACGGATGAATTTGGATCCATAATTGAGCCTACAACGACCCAAGTAAGAATCTATTTGGATCCATACCTGCGCCTACAACGACCCAAGTAAGAATAACGAAATTCTCTTAAGAATTCGTTCACAACTTGAAATAACAAACACTTGACAGGAACTAAAACGCAAATCTTCTCCAACACAGTACATCAGGCGGCTTAAATCAAAGAAATATCGACAGGAAAATCGTAGCTGCGAATTAAATGAACAATTCTAAAATGGTTTACATTAACATCCAGCAATGCAAATAAAATTATTGAAAATGCTTTTGGGTATTTTAACTTGAAAGATACGAACTAACACACATGGAAAAAATTCTTCGTTTTTTTTTAAATATATGAGGGGATTTTAATATATTACATATAAGAGGGGATTTCAATATACACCAAAAAAATCGATGAATTGCAAATGCTACATATTTAGGATCAGCGACATACTTTCGTGTATCTTTCATCTCAACTGCATGCACAAGAGGAATAGATGGTCTTTTGCTGCCGTAGTAAATTCCATTGTTGTAATCGAGAACCTAAAAGTTCAGCATGTTCTTTGGACAAGTAAAAGTCTCCAACTAAATCGTTTAATTTAGTTTGTTGGATGAAATGGGGTGCTTTATCATCGCTTTCGGGAAAATAAGAATCGTCCGTTTCTGATACATCATCGGATTCACTCTTATCACTATACATTTCCAAATTTCTCCCAATTTTCTGGAGGTCCTGGAACTGGTAAATCTTCTTCATGAACAACCGGTTTTTTTTCTGAGGAAATATCTGAATATTCAATTTTATGCTTGTTCTACCTTGAAAACCCAGACACTTTTGCCATGCAAAAGTAATAGTTCTTAAAATGATTTGTTGATTCACGCCAAATCATCAGAACTGCAAACGACGTAGAAAAGCGTTTACCATTTAACCAATTACTTAGATTTGATGAACAGGTTTGGCAGCATATGTGAGGAGCCCAGTCCCGATATTGATCGCCAATAACACATCCAAATTCTTAGATTCTTATTGAATCCTCTATATATCCTTCATTAACCGTGCTTGATTTCCAGCCTCCATGTCGTTTGAGGAATTCTAAATTTTTGGCTCCATCAATTAAAAGTGTTGCTGAAGTTCGTCGTAAAGAGTGACCCGTGTATGCGTTTGCATCGTTTAAATTTAAATAACTAGCTACTTTTTGGGCTACTGCGCTGATCGAATACTTACTATTCCCATGACGCTTCGGTAACACTTTCCATTTTGGTACTTGATAAAAAATCGGTTTTCTGTGAAACTTTCAGGTCGCAGTGATGCATACTTTTTATACAGTTTAATGTAGTTTTAACCAATTATCGTAAAAGATCTAATTTGTCGTGTTTTACTGTCTGGGATTTTGATAATTATTACATTTTCTTTATCCTCAATGTCCAGAGTCTTCATTTTTACCATTTCGTCGCATCGACAGGCGCCGGTAACCCCAATTAACAAAACAATCTGAAATATTTTTATAATTTAGTAGAGTATACTACATGCTTTGCAATATAATTTTTTTTACCTTTAATCCTAAATACAACTTATCTGGCGCTTCAAACAAAAATTTATCAAACTCGTCTTTAGTGAAAACTTTAGACTTCTTTGCAGTATATCCTTCGCTTGTTTTTTTTTCACGTTACTTTAAAAATTTGCTTATATCCACATTTTTTTCTTATAACTAACTCGGATTTTATCATAGAATATCGTGACCACATTGTAGAAGATTTTCATTTATTTTCATTTTCCATTATATTAAAATTTGCCAGTAAAACGTCTTCGGTAACTTGCCGTACTCCTCTTGTATCGCACCACTCTTGGAAGTGCTTGTACGATAACCGATACTTTATTCCGGACTTGGAGGGTCCCAAACGTGTTACTGCATCATTAGCCGCGGACTCAATTTCGTTTAGGTTTTTCATTTTCGCACTAAATTTGCGCTTGCGGTTGCAACAACAATAAGCTGTCTTTAATAATTGCAAACAACTGTCAAACAACTGTAACCAGGAAGACGCAAATCCCACCGACGACTTAATTATTTTAATTTCTAACATCTAGACGACTTTGATAGTTGTCACAGTTAATTTCGAGTAAAAACAGCGTATAAATTGTACTATTTATGGTTGAAAATTGCTACGTTTGAAGAAAAAATAGTATACTTTATTCGGCAAAGAAGCGACTTTTCTTGACTTGCCCTCTATTACGCGCCTCACTTCGTTCGGCGCGTAATATCGGGCGCGTCGAGAAAAGTCATGCTTCTCCGCCTCATAAAGTAATATACTATTATTTTACTCATATTGAAACTAATACTATTTAATATTCTAAATTTAACCATTCACCATATTACCAGTCTATATCACTTAATATACAAAAAACAAACAAAACACGAAATGTAATTAATTTTTTTTAGGAAATATACGAAGGTTTAGACGAGTTTGTGAACATATACAAGCTCAAGTGTGTACGAGAAGACCTCCTCCTAGTCCGAGGGCTCAAAGGAAGTTTACTACGGAATTAAGCGAAAGTTCAAGTTGTGGTTCAGATTCTAGTGAATTGTTTTTGAATACAAGGCAGGTGAGTATTCGCAGTTTGTGAAAGTCTTAACAAACAAATAATACCAATAAACCAAATTATAACTTACGATTAATTACCATTATTAACATGGGCCTCCCTATTATTTTTAAATTTTCTACATTCTGGACTTGCAGGTTCCGATTCTTTTAGTGAATCTTACAGTCTTAATATTACATCATTATACACTCAGTGGTTCATTAGATTCATTAGGCTATTAATTTCATAAGTTATACAGCGGCGGCTCGTGACCTAAAAAAGTGATGAAGATGAGGAAAGCTTGCCGGAGCCAAAAGGAGTTTTGGTACCTACGTCGCGCCCAAATCTCATTAAAATTCGTTAAAACATGAATATTTTGAGGGTATACAAGGCAACTATCGAACACGGTGATTAATTTAATCTTGCCCAAGTACTTTCGATCAATAGATCATCTTCAGGGGCATTTCGTCAGTTGTGGCCTATCCGACATAGTAGAATGTCATAAATGTAAAATTTGGACACTAAGTGTTCTTAGTGTATTGTATTTTGTATTGTTATGTCCAAATTTTACATTTATGACATTCTACTATGTCGGATAGGCCACAACTGACGAAATACCCCTGAAGATGATCTATTGATCGAAAGTACTTGGGCAAGATTAAATTAATCACCGTGTTCGATAGTTGCCTTGTATACCCTCAAAGTTTAATTATTCGAACATTCAACCTTATATTGAAAAAATGAATAGTTATACAAAAACTAAACTAATAAATACTATACTATACACTATACTATATAAAAATATGTCTATATAACAGACTAAATTTCAAAATATTGTCGCTGCGAATACTAAATAGGTACCCAAGCAACTAGTGGCCAGTGGGTGAAGACGGATAATATATTTTTTGACGGAACTGCACTAGTTATTTTTTCAACTATTACTAGCCACGGGCTGACGTCACGTTGCGATGGCAACCGTGAACGCTTATGCAGATGGTTTCAGCAAGTGACACAGGTCAGAATTTGAACGTCAAGTACCTACCGCACCGCTAATAAAGCTAGCTGTCTTTTTTAATTTTTAGATTAATTTAAAGAGAATAAATAATTGATTCCACAGTTTAGATGTTGCTTTTATTTTTTAGTTATTTGTCTCAATTTAATTATATTTTTTTGGTGAACCTCACCTTCACCTACTTCACCTGACCGGCCACTTATATAACTTTCGATAACCTCCGATATTTTGTTACAGTTAAATGTTCTCCAATTAGAAAACAGCGATCTAGAAAGTGAATGCAGTGTTTTCGACGTCCGTACTGCCACACGGGAAGTCTCCCGACGAGCGTCTACGAACAACAACACGGAAACGTGCGAGCAGAATAGTCCCACTACCCCGAAAGCGGTTCGATCTAACTCGGAAAACACTGAGACTTGTGAAAAAAAATGCATTACGACAATGTCCGGTAGTTCTATTGCGTAATATTTTTTATATATAGCCTAATTTCTCATAGCCATAGTCGCGAGTCGTGAAGATATAGGACAGTTTTTCAACAGTACACATTATTTCAAAACTTTTTACAATTAATCTCCAACAATTTTTTGACACAATTGTCAATTATAATATTAAAATATATTATATATTATTATAATATATACATATATATATATATATATATATATATATATATATATATATATATATAAATAAATATATATATATATATATATATATATATATATATACAAATATATATATATATACATATATATATATATATATATATATATATATATATATATATATATATATATATTATAATGCTTATCGGTTATAGCACTATATAGCTTGTAGTTATGTTGTATATTTTATATTATCTATTATTTTGTTCAGGTTCACTTTCATTCTATGATCGAATCAAAAACTGAATTAAAGAAAAAACTTAATAAACAAGAAAAAACAAAACACAAAATTAATAGAAGATTACGGAAAATTTAATAAAATACGATGTACAAGAAGACTATAAAAAAATAAGGATAAGTAATAAAAAAAAATCTAACCGAAGAAGACAAGAAAAGAAAAAGAGAGAAAATGAAAATAAATTAAAAGACAAAAAAGTTAAGAAGAAAGTAACAAAAAAATAGGGACAAAAAATCAAGGACAGAAGTCGAGAAAATAAGTGAAGAAAACGGTTTAATCTCATTAATAAAAAAAAATAAGCAAAAAGAAGAGACATGACTAGAGAGAGATTAAAAAAGAAATGATATGTGAAAGTTTAGAATTTCTAAAAATAACAGGTAACCTGAACAACCTTTATATAGCTCCCACAGTTTTTCGATTAAAAAAACAATATATAGGAATCTACTTTGAGAATAAACACTAAATAAAGAAAATTTGAAAACGCACCAATGGATGTGGACAATTGTGTTATTTGCACATTTATTTACATATTATATTGTTTATTTATTTTTGTTATAAAAAGTTGCCTAAAACTGGATAAAATTGTTTTGAAACTGTCCTATTGATAAAGGGTAACAGTTGCTGTTATTTCAGTTGTTTTTAGTCGAATAAAATTATATTTATTTATTGGTTGTGGATGAAAATTTTTTATAATGTTAGAAATATTGGAACACAGTCATTGAAAGGGTTTAAACAAATTATTGGAGTTCACAACACGAATTTTCAAAAGTTCTATGTATCTTGTCCTGGAATGAAACATAAATTTTAAACAGAAAAACTTGCGTAGGCAAACGACAAGTATTTATAGGGATATGAAATTATTTTCCTGTGACATTTCTATATATCTACTATATTTATAAATATCTCCTATATTTATTGGTCATTTTTCATATCGATCTCGGAAATTTCCGTAACGTCAATATAACTTATTTTCACTTGATATTGTGGTTTATTCTCATTAAATATAGTAAAAAACTTACGTATTATTAAAAAAATATTACGATCACTTTTTAACAAGTCAAGATCGTAATCGAAATGTATATTGGACAATAAAATACAATATTCAAATAATCGTAAGATAGGAAACAGCAAAAAGACGAAACTGAAACTACATGGTGTCGGAAAAGAAAATGATTAGGTACTCGTAGACTCTCTAAAGTTGTCATCAACATATCAACAACAACATCGCTCTTCAGCACAAAACAAATTGATGGTTTGTAGGAAAGTATTAGGACATGCCAGTGATTCGTGGCCGAGTTAAGTAATCTAGCAAAAGTCAAGTAAGCAACCTTATTGTATTTATGTTAAGAGTTTTGGAATAGTAATTGTAAAATGTAATATTATAAAATGTTTTACATGACTATCAAAAGAAATTAAAAAAATTGATTTATATGTAATTAAACCTGTTATATATCTCAGTAAAACTGAAGCTCAATAAGAAATTAATAATATATATATATATATATATATATATATATATATATATATATATATATAAATATAGTAGATCGTAGATATTAGGAGAGAAATGGAAATTGAACTACACAGTATAGATACTATCGAAGCCAAAAGACTAAACTGGTAAACTGGTATGGACACCTGCCAGAATGTCTGAAAATAGATAGCCAAAAAAAAAATATAGAAATGGACTCCGCCCACTAGCAGAAACGAGGTACACTGGGATGGCCATAAAGAAAAGATGTCGAAGATGAAAGCTGAAAATTGCTTCCACAGAAAACGCTGGAAATTAGGATACTAAAAATGGCGCCAGCGGTAAAAGACTTGCCTATCATACATATGCAAAACTTGAGAGTGCTGCACGGTCTTTCGAATAACGAATCTTCCGAAGTTTTATCGATATTTTTTTCAGGTTTTTAAATAATGTGCTCATGTGTTCCTAAAACTTTTGATAAATTAATAAAATAATAATATTCATAATAAAATAAAATTATAAAATTCAGACCGGATGCAGTTAAACATTTATGGAAACTACGCCATAGTTCATTACCTGGATTAGACGGACTCACCTCAGTTTTCCTCAAACAATGTGTAGAATCTGTAGCCATCCCTAGATCTATTATAATGAATGCTTCTTTGATCAAGGTTCTCATCCATCGTCCTAAAAATTGGTTTCGGTTACTCCTATATTCAAGAAAGGATAATAAATAAAATAAATTTGATTTCAACAATTATAGTCCAATCAATATTGTTCCGATTTTCGGCAAGGTCATGAAATCGTTTATTTTATAAGCTACGTCTAAGTATCTTCTTTAAAAAAATATTATCCCTTACCAAGAGCATGGCTTTATCAAAGGTCGTTCAACGATCACAAACTTACTTCATTGTGTAAATAATTGGTCATCAACTTTAAACAATCGGCATCCTGTCGATGTAGTCGACTTCTACAAAGTTTTCGACAGTGTTCTAAAACGTCAATTACTAGCTAAATTGGATCACTATGATAGCCGCGGAAGGATAAACATTTATATATAATATTTTCTATCCGACAGCTACTTCAGGATTTGTGTAGGGGAAGACTACTCATTAGATAAGCTATTTAAGAATGGAGTCCCACAAGTACTTGGATCAGTACTTGGACCGCTATTTTTTTTATATCTACGCTAGTGATCTTCCGATAATTGTATCTAGTAAGGTTTTCATTTGCGCTGATGATACGAAATTATACTATGTAAATCCAATTATTAATCAAAATGATCTGCAACACGATCTTGACGCAATATTCGAAGGGTCAACAGAATGGTTACTTCCAGTTAACATTGCAAAATGCGTTGTTTTTCAGATCGGTAACAATAACACATTACTACCGTACTTTATTAATGGACATCCCTTAAACTCGGTAACCTCCCACACCGATCTCGGAGAGATAATTAATAGTGACCTAAATTGGTCTCATCACATAGTATCGGTGTGTAAATATGCAAACTCAAAACTGTTTTTGATTCGTTAATATTTTACACGTATATCTCTAACCTCTGTTAGTAAATTTTACGCAATATACGTTAGACCTATTCAGTTGCTATAAAATCTTACCTAAAAATGGAAATCTGGAATAATTTGGATCACGACACCATATTGGCAACGATCCTTAAAAAAATAAACTTGATACCTCTTTATTTCATTTATAGAATTGCGGTGTTTTAGGACCCATTATTTTTTTCTTCATTTTTGTGATATAATTAATTGTATATAATTGGTATTAGTTTTAAAAGGATATTTTTCTTTGTTTTTTGGGCACAATGGGATCTCGCTGCGCTGCCCTCAAAAATCGCCAAGTACAGGAATCTGGAAATTCGAATACGAAGACAGTGTAGACTGGATTGTACCCAGTCAATACCTATTATTCTCTCTACTACTAGATTCATTCCAAAGAACCTCCTAGAAAACATAAAAAAGCTAGTTCTGAATGAACATCGCTACAAAATCATGCAGAAAGCTGTACTACTCTCATCGACCAGATGTGTACGAAAATTTTTGGGAGATACTCGAGCATACCAAGTCACCTAGGGCTCGATAATACGGAAAGAGTCCCACCAGAGCTCAATCCTTTTGATACCGTAGGTATCTGGGATGAGTAAATTTTCCTCTTAGAGGGAGTGTGAGCCGTGTGGATATAATAATAATAATATTAATAATAATAATAAACTACCTGAAATATATTGTCAAAGACCCTCAGGTCCAAAACGACAAATGCCGATATGGATGTCAAGCCCAAGAAACGATCCAACATCTGACCGGAGGCTGCCAAGCATTTTCTGCAACAGAATACAAGGAACGACATGACTCAGTAGGGAAGATCCTTCATCAAGAGATAGCTATTAAACTGGGACTTCTACAAACAAACCATCTCTAATATTATCAATACGTTCCAGAAAGTATGCTTGAAAATGACAACTACAAGCTATACTGGGATCGCACTGTACTCACAGACCAAACTGTAGCACATAATAGACCAGATCTCGTGCTAGGTAATAAACTAACAAGACAAACAACTTTAATCGATGTGGCGATACCTAACAACAATAATCTGCGGGTTAAGTACAACGAAAAGATCGCCAAGTACAGAGATCTGGAAATACAAATAAGAAGACAATGGAGAATGGAACGTACCCAGACGATACCTATTATTCTTTCTACCACTGGAGTCATTCCGAAGAACCTCCTAGAAAACATAAAAAAGCTGGGTCTAAATGAACATCTATATAAGGTCATGCAGAAAGCTGTGCTACTTTCGACGTCCAGATGCGTGCGAAAAGTTTTAGGAGATACACAGACGTACCAAGTCACCTAGGACTCGATAACATGGAAAGAGTCCCACCAGAGCTCAATCCTTTTGATACCGTAGGTATCTGGGATGAGTGAATTTTCCCCTTAGAGGGAGTGTGAGCCGTATGGCTAAATCTGGATAATAATAATAATGTAATTATGATATGTATGATGTATGATATGGAAAATGATATGTATAAATACCTCGGAATAAAGCAAGCGCGGAGGATTGACCATAAGCAAATGAAAACTGAGATAACAATTGAGTTTATACGAAGGGTAAAACAGCTGCTTCGTTCATACCTTAACAGTAAAAATTTGTTTAAGGCACTAAACACCTACGCATGTTCCGCGCTTAGCTACTCATTTGGTATTGTTAAGTGAACAAAAACGGATATAGAAAATCTTTAGCGAAAAGTACGAGCACACCTCACAAAGGCACAAAAACACCATCCTCGAAGTGCAGTAGAAAGAACGACATTACCGCGGTATTTAGGAGGTCGAGGACTTATGGATATAAGCGAGCAATTAGAAAAACAGATTACTAATCTAAGAACTTATTTTCAAGTACAGGCGGAGACATCTACTCTTCATCGCGCGATTTGTGCAGTAGATGACACAACACCGATCAAACTGAAGGAACCAGAAATGCGCATAAACCACCTTACTAAGAACGAAAAAATGCGCACCTGGATGGGCAAGCCTCTGCACGGGCGACATCCCAATGAGGTCAGTCAAGACCATGTCGACAGTAT